AAAAATAACAGACTTATTCCTACTAGGGTATACCCAATCAAATATAAACTTCTAGCATCAATTTTTGTTAGGAAAGAGTAGTACCAAAAGATGCAAATATTTTATTAATTCAGAAGCTTATTTTGTTCTTAGAGAAAATTATGTGCAGATAAATCTTTGTCGCATTCATTCCCAGGTCAAACACCATGCCACTCCTTGCTAGTCACACTCCACATTATTGATAATGTGGGCAAATTTATCACTCACATTAAAAATCGGTGGGATTTACCAGATTCTCATTTCTCTGCTTTACTTTGTTCAGAGTTGGGTAATGGTTCAGGAGTTTGCAGAGTTGGGTAGTGGGGGAGTAGATACTTTGCTGCCAACACAGTGCTATTTAAGCTGTGTTTTAAGAAATGGAAAGTCCTTTACATTGAAGTTTCTTTAGCCCAAAGAACCATGGTTATGTGGATGGATATTTCAAGTGCTGGATTATTTCTTAAGGTCTCCCCCTATATTGGTCTTTTGGAAAGTTTAGTGAAACTCCGTCTACCATGTGATTGAGAATCAGTGAGAAATGGCCACTGTGTTCTATGTCACAAAAATATATACTTTTTTGGAAACATGCTATTGTTTTTTCAGAACAGGATTTTCAAATCCTTTCATCTTGAATTTGGTTCAGTCTTCTTTACCTTGAATGAAATATTTAAACCCGCTAGAAATGTGTTATATAATATGCTTAAATTTTTATTAATAAGCTTTAATAGTTCAAAGAAGAAACAAAATTACTAGCAACACTTCAGAAGGCATAATCTAATTTTCAGAGATAAGGACATAGTAATTTTGGATTTAGCTTAAATGATTAATTATATCCATTCAGATCAGACAGTATCCCAGTTTGGAGTCTAACTTGAATTTTTATGTATGGAATGGAATTTGCTCAGCCTTTGAAAAGTTTTTGGATTGATGACACATCGATAAATTTTTTTCCTTGCATGAGCTCTGTCTCTTTGACAGGCAGGTGTGTTGCTCCTCTGTTCTCACCTTGAAGAAGTTAATCTGAAGTTGTGTTCCTCTTTAGAATTTAAGAGGAATATAAAAGTACAGGATACTGAATTTCATATGAGCATTTAGTTGCAAATGAGCCAGGTTTTTCCATGGAATAAAATAACCAACTTTGGAAAATCTAATTCTGAATTAGGGACTTCTGCCTTTATAAAAGTTACTTTTAGGGGCACTTGGGTGGCTCAGTCTGTTAAGTGTCCGACTCTTGGTTTCAGCCCAGGTCATAATCTCATGACTTCTTGGGTTCGAGCCCCATATCAGACTCTCTACTGGCAGTGTGAGCCTGCTTGAGATTCTCTCTCTCTCTCTCTCTCTCTCTCTCTCTCTCTCTCAGCTCCTCCCCTGCTTCTGCTATCTCTTTTTCTCTCAAAATAAATAAACTTAAATTTTTTAAATTGCTTTTTACATAGGAAATTGAGAACTTTCTGATAGCTTTTTTGCATTTGGCCTAATTTTTTTTTTAAAGTAATCTCTACACATAACATGGGGCTCAAACTCATGACCCTGAGATCAAGAGTGATATGCTCCATGAACCAGTGTCCTAATTCTGTTCACAAATAAGGGGCGCTTAACATTTTAGGCTTTTTGATTCTCTAAAGAATGAGACTTCCTTGCTGGATGAGAATAATAGCTAGGAAAACCATATATATCATATAACTTGACTATGTCCCTAATGGATATAGGAAAATATTTCTACAAGTGGTAAAGAATTTATTTGGGGAAAAATCAAGGATCCAATGTTTCAGCCAGATTATTCACCAAGCATTTACCAGATGCTTTCTGTAGACTTAACTACTGTTCCGTGTATTGCAAGGTTGATTACAAAGATCAGTTACATGAGCCCCACATTGAGTGTAGAGATTGTTTTTAAAATAAAAATTTTTAAAGGAGGTAATCAGCTGGTAAAGAATGTGACGCTTCATCTCGAGGTTCTGAGTTCAAGACCCACACTGGGTGTGGACATTACTTAAGAAATAAATAAAAATAAAGTTAAAAAAAAAAACCAACTATAGTCTCTGCCCCAAATAAAAGAGACAATATTGAACATTTTTTTTTAAGTTTATTTATTTTTGAGAAAGAGTGCAAGCAGGGTGGGGGTAGGCAGAGAGAGAGAGGAAGACACAGAATCAAAAGCAGGCTCCAGGCTCTGAGCTGTCAGCCCAGAGCCCAACATGGGGCTTGAACTCATGAACTGTGATATCATGCCTCAGCTGAAATCGGACACTTAGCCAACTGAGCCACCAGGTGTCCCAGTATTGAACAATTTTGATACACAAAGTACTTCATATTTATTTTGACACTTAACCTCATACATCTATTGCTAGAATAGCCCTGTTTTTCTCATGGAGGGAACTGGAGCTCAGAGAGATGAAATCACTTGCTTGGTAATTCATAGATTTGAAGGCAAGTCTTTCTGACTCCAACTTTACACTTACTGCCTTTTTGAAAGGCAGGAACAAGTAGAGTCAGAGCAAAGCATGATGGTTGCTAGATGAGTGCTTAACAAGATACTAGGCGGTTCAGAAAGAAGAAAAATCTTACGCAGTATCAGTAAAGATTTTGGAGGTAGATTTACTTTGACCTTGGGTAGAATCCATTTTTATCATGAAAACGCCCTCATCTGAGAGAGATACCTCAAACAAACATTTTGAGTTTGGGGGAGTTGTCCAGCCCTATCTCTAAGGTTTGGGTAAGAATTCTGGGGTTCCCAATTTTACATTTGAGACCCCAGACTTTTAAAGTCTGTAAGGGTGATTTAGGAATGGTTGCTACACCCTATTTGGTGTGTAGCTTCACCTAGAATGGGGCTGCACTCAGATTTGTTTTACCGACATCATCCCATTTTCGTCTCTCTCTACCTCCAGTTACAATGTGGTAGGAATCCTAGATAGGGCATCTTCAGGCTTCAACTTCAAAGTTGCAACAGGTGGTTGCTGAATGATAGGAAAGCCTAACCTCTGTCTGATTTAGCCTCAAAACTCCAGGCTTTGATAAAATGCACATTTTTTTGGAAAGTATCTTGTAGTTTGGGAAATAACTCCTAAAAGTAATGAAATATTTGTAAGAAGGAAGGAAATGATGAGGTATTGGGAGATTTTGCAGGCCTATGGGGTGGCTAGAGAGAAGATGGCAGATATGAGAAAAACATATGTTCTATTTAAATTTTGGCTAGAGAGCATGGTAAATGTTTGGGGCAGAAAAAAACCTAAGTTTGTAGCCTGAAATAATGATACAGTAGTCCTAACAGGCTCTTTCTGTCTCATTCTCCTTAAAAGGAAAAAATTGGAATTCATATTTATTCAAGATAGTTGATCTACCATCTTGAAGTGGTTTTTATAAAAATCTTAATTCTGGATAGCTAGCTTTAGTAAAACATTTTGTCAGCTGTTGGTTACTTGAACAGTCCCAAAATAAAGGTAAATGAAAATAAGATAGACAATTTCTAGGTAGCAGTGGTCTTTCCTGAAGTTCTGTTAACTATTTTTCCTGAATGCAGATAGGTCCATTTATCCAGGAGAGATTATTACTGTGTCAGTCTCTGTGTATGTACACATATATGTGTTGTACAGGTGCTTCCCTTCTCCCCCACCCTTTTAGAGTTGATGGCTTGTCCCTGATTGTTCAGTATAATAGTTTGCAGATTCACTAAGAGAGCTTGTGTAGTAATGCTTGCTTTATTTTTTTTTCTCTTTCACTCTTGTTTTATTTTTACTTTTTTTTCTTTGTGATGTGACATTTTCAGCTGATGTATTGAAAGCAAATCCTTCTAATTTGGGAGCCCAGATCACAAGAGTGAGTTTTTCTACTAGTGTCTTTAGCTGTATATCTTTTTTTGTGTGTGTCTTTCCACCCTTTTCCCCTCCCAATTCAAAAATATTCAAAACACATTTCATAAATATTAGATATGAAAATTCCTCTGTCTGTTGAACATCATGCCCTTCCGCAAAGCAATGTCCACTTTATATTGGGTCAAATTCCTTTTCCTAATGCTACTGTAAAAGTATAGGCTAATGTATGTGTTTTGTTTTGGTTTTTTATATTATCTAGTGTGTTGGAAATAATTTTAGTTCTGTCTTCATTGCAGATATGTCTGGACTTTGTCACTAGTGTGTCATTAGCACTGTTCTTTTTTGGTTATTGTTCCATTTTGTTTTAAGGAAAATTATGTAGTAGTTTCTGAGAATAAAAGATTGATTCTTTTATCAGGATTTTAAGTAATAAATCCTTAGACTTATCTCTGTTCTCTCTCCTCATCCCCTGGAAGTTACTCTCAGGGCCATGAAGGAATGAAAAAGCTATACATATTACTGTCTAATTTCAGCAGACTGACCAGACGCTGGTCAGACTGATGAGCTCTGAACATGCTAGCATTGGAAGATGGTTTGTGTGATAGTCACAGGACTACTTCATGCTGAAAAGAAATAGCACCTTTTTATGGTGAAATAAAAGTATGCTTTCTATTTGTTTTGATTCACATAACCTCCCCATGTAAGCTGTACATTGCTTTTTAAGATCTTACTCCTGGATAATTTTCTGTACTAGCCTAACCCCTTTCTGTTCTCTTTGGCTTGTGTTATTACAATTTATCTCATATTCTGTTTGTCTAGTTTTGCATCCTGGAGGAGCAGGTGATCAAATAGTCCCTTTTTTTTCCCTCCCAGTGTTCTAAAATTTGCTTGTTGTATCTGAAATCATTTAATTTTGCCCAATAAAGAAAATGGTATGCTGTCCTAATTAGAAATGCAGGTACTGCAAGTGTTTTATCCAAAGTAATCAGCCATTGTGGTTTCAGTTACTGAAAGAGAGAGTATTAAACAATGTGTTCTGCGCTAGCACTGTAACCATTGATTGAGGGTAAATATTCTAAAGACCTTGTTTTCAGGATCCCCAGATTATTCTAAATCACCCACCCTCTGTTCCCTTTTTGTTTTGTTGTTGTTGTTGTTGTCCACCAGAGATTGAAAGATCTCAAGCAGAGAGAGTTTGCTCGAAATGTCTCTTCAAGATCCCGCAAAGATGAGAAGAAACAGGAAAAAGCACTTCGGCGGCTCCATGAATTGGCTGAGCAAAGGAAACAAGCTGAATGGTGAGGATATGTTCTTTTTCGTTCTTTTTTTTTTTTTTTTTTTAAGTTTTTATTTTTATTTATTTAGTAATGTTTTGAGAGAGAGAGAGCACAAGGTAGAGGGACAGAGAGAGAGGGAGACAGAATCCCAAGCAGGCTCTGCACTGTCAGCACAGCCCTGTGTGGGGCTCAGACTCCTAAACCGTGAGATCATTACCTGAACTAAAAGTCAAGAGCCAGATATTTAACTGACTGAGCCACCCAGACACCCCGAGGATATTTTTCTCTCAAAGGGTTCTATAGATAGTTATAATCCTTAAGATTTTAGATTTTAGGTTATAATTTAAGACATTAAAATTTAAGAATTAGAACCTTTGGGGCGCCTGGTTGGCTCAGTTAGTTAAGCATCCGACTCTTGATTTCAGTTCAGGTCATGATCTCACAGTTGTGAGATCAAGCCCCTTGTGGGGGTCTGTGCTGGGCATGGAACCTGCTTAAGATTCTCCCTCTGCCCCTCCCTCCTGCTCATACTCTCTCAAAAAACAAACAAAGGGGCGCCTGGGTGGCTTAGTCGGTTAAGCGTCCGACTTTCGTTTAGGTCATGATCTCGCGGTTCGTGGGTTCGTGCCCCGCGTCGGGCTCTGTGCTGACTGCCAGCTCAGAGCCTGGAGCCTGTTTCGGAGTCTGTGACTCCTTCTCTCTCTGACCCTCTCCTGCTCACGCTGTCTGTCTGTCTCTCTCTCTCCCTCTCTCTCNTTCTCTCTCTGACCCTCTCCTGCTCACGCTGTCTGTCTGTCTCTCTCTCTCCCTCTCTCTCTCTCTCTCTCTCTCTCTCTCCTAGAAATAAAATAAAAAAACATTTAAAAAATTAAAAAAAAAAAGATTTATAAACCTGATTAGTAATTCTTTTTTTCCAAACTGAAAGTATATCTGTAATTAGAGTATAATATACTGATGAGGAATATGCACTTGAGGCCATATCCTACCATCTGTGTGACCTCAGTTATCTAAGCTCTATGCCTCAGTTTCCTAATCTGTAAGATGGAGATGATAATAACAGTTTACTTCTTACAGTTGTGACGAGTGATTATCTTTTCATCAAAAGTGCCTTATAGGGGAGCCTGGGTGGCTCACTCAGTTAAGTGTCTGACTCTTGATTGCAGCTGGGGTCACAATCTCATAGTTGGGAGATTGAGTCCCACACTGGGCTCCACACTGGGCATGGAGCCTGGTTAAGATTGTCTTTCTCCCTCTGCCCTTCTCCACTGCTTGTGTTTGTTCCTTCATTCCCCCTCCCCCCTAAGAAAAAAAAGTGCCTTATAAAAGAGTGCCATGCCATAGGAGATGCTCAATAAATCAGTAAATTATACAAATATTATTGTTCCCATTCTCCAACATTCTTCTGTAGAAAAGCACACATATTACAGTATTTTATAGCTAAAAAGTGTTGGTGCAAAGATTCAAGTGTTTTAATGTCCTTTTAAGTACTATACAGTTAGTATTAACCACTAAAACCTAGGTATTCTATCCATTTATTTCTCTGCAGCTTCCTATCTTCTTGAGTGTTCTTTTAAATCTCCCTTCATGGTTCTTGATGATTATCAATTTGGGGGCTGGTACCTAGCCTTAAGTGGAATTTACCCCACCTGGGGCTGAATTTCCAAGCAATGATGCTTTGGGAACCCAAAGCATCTGAGGCCCCCATGTTTGTTTTTAATGGCTGTCCAGGATCAAGGAAGGAACTGGTTATAGTAGAAAGAGAAACTATGACTGTGGCTTTTAAAAGTTTACAGCCAAGTTGGGGCCAGAGTTTCTAAGTTCCTGGACTTACTAGATTTTTTTTTTGTCTCAGGATCCTTTTTTTTTACTTATTTGCTTCTCTGTTTTCAGAGAAGGAAGGGAGAGAACACATAGTATAAGTTTTGAAACCGAATTAACCACTGAGCTCTAAGTTGAGATAAACTGCCTATAATAAACTGGTTCTGATTCCTTCTTTGGGCAGCTTTTTGTAGAGTAACACGTTACCCTTGGGCATATTGCAAGGCTAGCGTCTCAAAAAGTATATACCAGGTCACGTTCTGATCTGGGACATATTTTAATACATGTTTTTCTTCAGTTTCATATAAATAGTTAAAAGATGACCAATGATCTCTTGGGAGAATAAAAGAAGGTTTGACCAATCATCAGGTATTTCATTGTCCCAGAATTAATGCATGACCCCATATAAGTATTACTGAATTCACATGGTAAAGTGTAAGCAAAAGAACAAAATAAGATTCCTTTTTATTCACCTTGAGAGTCTCTTTGCCATGAAGTAGGTTTCGTAGCACAGTGTGTCTCTTGCTGTCTGAATCTTTCAGGTTCCTGTCTTCCATTAGCAAGAGTTTTTAGATGACAGGAGATAGCACATCATCCAAATATATTTGGCCCCTAAATTTAGGACAGCTTGTAGTTAGGAGTCAGATAACAAGGTTTCATCCAAATAGATAGTTAATTCTCCTCACTTCTTAATTTTGGCTTGAAAGATACCTCAAGCATATAGTCCACACACTAAAAGTTTCAGACATGACCTGAGTTTAAAGCACTGGCTTTGAGGCTCCTCTGTGTTCCTGTTTTCAGAGCTGAGAAAGTGTTTGGTAGCATCATGATCATGGTACAGAATGCCGAGAAATTATCACAAAACCAAGGCAAATGCCGGACATACTAACCAGAGACTACCATAGAATAACACAGTGGAAGTTTCTGACTATGATAAACTCAGAAAATATCCATATTTTTAAAAGTAAAATTTGAGGGGCGCCTAGATGACTTAGTCGGTTGAGCGTTCAATCTTGATCTTGCCTCAGGTCATGATCTTGTGGTTTGTGGGTTCCAGGCCTCGCATCAGGCTCTGTGCTGACAGTGTGGAGCCTTCTTGGAAATCTCTCTCCCTCTCTCTCTGCCCCTACCCAGCTCGTGCTCTCTCTCTCAAAATAAGAAACTTTAAAAAAAAAAAATAGTAAAATTTGAAAACAGAGGAAAATAGAGGGGTTTTTTTTAGGTGACTGAAATACAATCTTTGTGAATAGATGTTGAGCCACACATTTGATGGCATACTGATGGGTGGGATGATTCTGTAAGAACTGAGAACAGGGGTGCCTGGCTGGGTCAGTCAGAAAAGCACGCAGCTCTTGATCTTAGGGTCGTGAATTCAAGCCCCACATTCAGTGTAGAGATTACTTAACAAAATAAACTTAAAAAAAGAAAAAAGAAATGAGAACAAATACAGGATGGGTCAGCTGTACCAGGTGGTAATGACAAAGTATTTGAATTGTGTGATAAAGCTTTACTTTTCACATTCTGGACAGCTTAGGAAGAAATAGTATTAACTGGCCGGCCCTGAGATTTGCCTAAACCCACTGAGCAAGTATCTGTTTTTGGCATAGGGCTAGGAAATGGCCACCACTCAATGTCTTTGAGGCCTGCCTGCAGTGAATGATGGAACATGAGAGATGAGTGTTATATAAGAAGTATGAAATGTTCTTCTAACCTTTTTTTGTTGTTTATTTTTCTAAACCGTTGTGCAGTGCACCTGGAAGTGGTCCCATGTTCAGACCAACCACGGTGGCTGTAGATGAAGAAGGTGGAGATGATGATAAAGATGAATCAGCTACAAACAGTGGCACAAGTGCCATGGCCACTTGTGGCCTGGGATCTGAATTCTCCACCGATAAAGGAGGCCCTTTCACTGCAGTACAAAGCACCAATACCACTGGCCTGTCACAGGCTCCTGGGTTAGCTTCCCAGGGCATCAGCTTTGGCATTAAGAATAATCAAGGAACCGCACTGCAAAAATTGGGAGTGTCATTTTCCTTTGCCAAGAAGGCTCCTGTCAAACTCGAATCAATAGCATCAGTTTTCAAGGACCACGCAGAGGAAGGACCGTCTGAAGATGGAGCCAAAGCTGATGAGAAAGGTTCTGACCAAGGACTGCAGAAGGTGGGAGAATCTGATGGTGGTAGTAATCTTGATGGCAAAAAAGAGGATGAAGACCCTCAGGATGGAGGGTCCCTAGCCTCGACATTATCTAAGTTAAAAAGAATGAAGCGAGAAGAAGGAGCTGGGGCTGCAGAACCAGAGTATTACCACTACATTCCCCCAGCACACTGCAAAGTAAAACCAAATTTCCCCTTCCTACTCTTTATGAGAGCCAGTGAACAGATGGAAGGTGATAATAGCATGCACCCCAAGAATGCCCTAGAGAGCAAAAAAAGCAGTTCTCCCAAGCCTAAAGGCTGTATCAAGGTGACAGCAAGCCAAGGGGCAGAAAAGACGGTTGAGGAAATCTCCGAGCAACAGACGGAAACCAGTGCTGCAGAGCCCTCAGAGCCTGGAGGCAAAGCTGAGACAAAGAAGATCTCAGGAGAGGATGTAAGTGAGCAGAGTTTAGAGAGTCCATGTCAGAAAGCTTCAGAGAATCAAATGTGTGAGTCTAACCCCTCTAAAGAAACCTCTCAGATCACCCCAGCAGGGAAAGAAAGTCAGGAGGGACCCAAACATCCTACTGGTCCCTTCTTTCCAGTTTTGAGCAAAGATGAAAGCACTGCCCTCCAGTGGCCATCGGAACTCTTAATTTTTACCAAGGCAGAACCCTCCATTTCATACAGTTGTAACCCTTTATACTTTGACTTTAAACTTTCAAGGAACAAAGATGCCAGAGCTAAAGGGACCGAAAAACCAAAGGACATAGGAGGCTCCTCAAAGGACCATCTCCAAGGCCTTGATGCTGGTGAGCCAAATAAAAGCAAAGAGGGTGGAGAGAATGTAGAACATTCCTCACGAGGCAGAATGGATGCTCCTGCTTCTGAGTCGGCCTGTAGCAGTTTGAACAAGCAGGAACCTGGGGGCAGCCATGGGTCAGAGACAGAGGACACAGGGAGAAGCCTTCCTAGCAAGAAAGAACGATCTGGGAAGTCCCACCGACACAAAAAGAAAAAGAAACACAAAAAATCCAGCAAACACAAACGGAAACATAAGGCTGACCCAGAAGAGAAAAGCTCTAAGACAGAGTCTGGGGAGAAGTCTAAGAAGCGCAAGAAACGAAAACGAAAGAAGAATAAGTCATCAGCCCCTGCAGATTCTGAACGGGGACCCAAACCAGAACCCCCTGGGAGTGGCAGCCCTGCACCCCCCAGACGGCGGCGGCGAGCTCAAGATGATTCCCAGCGAAGATCCCTCCCAGCCGAAGAAGGGAGCAGCGGCAAGAAGGACGAAGGCGGAGGCGGTGGCAGCTCCCAAGATCATGGTGGGCGGAAACACAAAGGTGAGCCTCTGACCTCATCCTGCCAGCGAAGAGCTAGCACCAAACGGAGCAGCCGGTCCAGCCACCGAAGTCGACCCAGTAGTGGAGATGAGGACAGTGACGATGCTTCATCACACCAGCTGCACCAGAAGTCTCCATCCCAGTACAGTGAGGAGGAGGAGGAGGAGGACTCGGGCAGTGAGCACTCCCGGAGCCGCTCCCGGTCAGGCCGGCGCCATTCCTCACACCGTTCCTCCCAGCGTTCTTACTCCAGTAGCTCCGATGCTTCTTCAGACCAGAGCTGCTATAGCAGACAGCGCAGTTACTCCGATGACAGCTACAGTGACTATAGTGACCGATCTCGAAGGCACTCCAAGCGCTCCCATGACTCTGATGACTCAGACTATGCCAGCTCCAAGCACCGGTCCAAACGGCACAAATACTCCTCTTCTGATGATGACTATAGCCTCAGTTGCAGCCAGTCCCGAAGCCGGTCTCGGAGTCATACCAGGGAGCGCTCAAGGTCCCGGGGCCGCAGCCGCAGCAGTAGCTGTAGTCGCAGCCGGAGCAAACGGAGAAGCCGCAGCACCACAGCCCACAGCTGGCAGCGGAGCCGAAGCTATAGCCGTGACCGCAGTCGCAGCACCAGGAGCCCTTCCCAGAGATCAGGTTCCAGGAAGGGATCATGGGGTCACGAGAGCCCTGAGGAGAGGCGTTCTGGTCGTCGAGACTTCATCCGCTCTAAAATCTACCGCTCCCAGTCTCCCCACTATTTCCGATCAGGCCGGGGAGAAGGTCCTGGGAAGAAAGAAGATGGCAGAGGAGACGATGGTAAAGGGACAGGCCCGCCCTCCCAGAACAGCAACGCTGGTGCCGGAAGGGGGTCAGAAGGTGACTGCAGCCCCGAAGACAAGAACTCCGTTACTGCCAAACTGCTACTGGAGAAGATTCAGTCAAGGAAAGTGGAGAGGAAACCCAGTGTGAGTGAGGAGGTGCTGGCCACCCCTAATAAAGCCGGGCTCAAGCTCAAGGACCCCCCGCAAGGTTACTTTGGGCCCAAGCTCCCCCCATCTCTTGGCAATAAGCCTGTTCTTCCATTGATAGGGAAACTCCCAGCTACCCGAAAGCCCAACACCAAGAAATGTGAAGAGTCTGGCTTAGAAAGGGGGGAAGAGCAAGAACAGTCAGAGACAGAAGAAGGGCCTCCAGGAAGTAGTGATGCCCCACTTGGACATCCGTTCCCCTCAGAGGAAACAGCTGGCCCCTTATCAGACCCACCCCCAGAGGAGCCAAAGTCTGAAGAAGCTACTGCTGATCACCCTGTGGCTCCACTAGGCACCCCAGTGCACTCTGACTGCTATCCTGGGGACCCCACTGTCTCCCATAACTACCTCCCTGACCCCAGCGACGGGGACACCCTAGAGTCCTTGGATAGTGGCAGTCAGCCAGGCCCTGTGGAATCCAGCTTGCTGCCTATAGCGCCAGACCTTGAGCACTTCCCCAGTTATGCACCTCCCAGTGGGGATCCTAGTATTGAGTCAGCTGATGGGGCTGAGGATGCTTCCCTGGCCCCCCTAGAGAGCCAGCCCATCACCTTCACCCCTGAGGAGATGGAGAAGTACAGCAAGCTCCAGCAGGCCGCACAGCAGCACATCCAGCAGCAGCTTCTAGCCAAGCAAGTGAAGGCCTTTCCGGCCTCGGCTGCCCTGGCCCCAGCCACTCCAGCCCTGCAGCCTATCCACATTCAGCAGCCAGCCACGGCCTCCGCCACCTCCATCACAACTGTTCAGCACGCCATCCTGCAGCATCACGCGGCTGCCGCCGCCGCCGCCATCGGAATTCACCCCCACCCTCATCCCCAGCCACTCGCCCAAGTGCATCATATTCCCCAGCCCCACCTGACCCCCATTTCCTTGTCCCACCTCACTCACTCAATCATCCCTGGCCACCCAGCCACCTTCCTCGCTAGCCATCCCATCCACATCATTCCTGCCTCGGCCATTCATCCAGGGCCCTTCACCTTCCATCCTGTCCCGCATGCGGCCCTCTACCCGACCCTGCTTGCTCCTCGGCCTGCTGCAGCAGCTGCCACTGCCCTCCACCTTCACCCACTACTTCACCCCATTTTCTCAGGTCAGGACCTGCAGCACCCGCCTAGCCATGGCACATGAGTTGGGGGAGGGGAGCCCAGGTAGGGCCAGGGAAGGTGACCCATATATCTTCCCTCGGAGGTGTTGAGCCATTAATACCAGCAAGTAGAAGCTGGGATGGGCAGTGTCTGACAGCCAAAGAATCAAGTTTTGGCTTGCAGGGGTGGTTTTAGATTTGAGGTTTTCTTTGGGTTTACTATCAGGGATTTTTTTTCCCTTCCCCGTTTCTGTTTGTCCCTCCCTCTCCTGTGTTTCTAAGCTAGGGAACACCAGTAAGTGCTACCCAACCCTCTGCAGCAACATCTCCAAACTGTCGAGTTTGGGATATTCCTCTCTTCCCTCTAATTTTTATCCTCCACTCTTCCCTTCTGTAATTTTAGAACACTTTCTTCCTCTCTGGCTGGTGGTTTGTCCATCTGGTCATGCCCTCTCACTGTCTTTGACCATCCCTTGGTGACCTTATGCTATGCTGGGTGAGGTGGAAAGGGAGTCTGACCTGGAACCAGAGGCTACTCAGGCTGTTATTCAATCCACTTCCCACACAGAGCCACACATTTGGCACTGCTGTCCTCATACCCCTCATCCCAGAAGAGGTATCTGTATATCCTAGAAAAGAAGATCCTATCATGAATAGAAGCGGAACGTAGAGTCGCCCGTGTGCTTCCCCAGAGAGAGGAGCTCATGTGTCTGAAGGGTGTATTTTCTTCTGTCATGTTGATGTTTCCTTAATTTATAGGATTTTTTTTTAATGTAAAAAATTGCACTGAACTCTATAAACGTAAATGCTGCTTTTTGTAGCTCATATAAAAAAAAGGTTCCATATTTGTAGTATACTGCAATAATATTTTTTACATCCAGCTCTTTAAGTGATCCTTGTTCTGGTGGCTTTGTGTAAATATGTTTGCCCTAGTTGAATTAAGAAACTTTAATGGTTATAAAATGAAAACAAAAAATAAAGTATCTGTTTTCTGCTAGATGCAAAAATGACTAAGCATGTATATTTTATCAAGCTCGTGTATTTTTTGAAGTTATGAACTATAAAAATGTTAAAACAAAAAGAAGGAACATTGTTTAACATTTTTTTGCTGGGACAAAATGTTTTGTTAATTTGCAGTAAGTGGTGTCCCCAGCACTGGGTTTTTGTTTTGTTTTACTGTTTTGTTTTGTTCTTTAACTAATGGGCAGCAGTCAGCTGGGGGGTTGTCAGTGGGGTCCTCGGTTATGACATCTCCCTCGTGTGCTTTGCAGTTTTATACAGAGAAACAGGTGAGCCCACAGAGGAGGAGAGAGAGATTCAAGAGCTTTGCTCTCTGGAAGCAGTGAGATTCAGAGTGATTTGGGAGATTTCCTGGGTCTTCTGGATGCCTTGTTCCAGGCAATCCATTTGCCTTCCTAGTACTTAGACCCCCTCTGACAGTTTTGGGTTTTTTTGTTTTTTGTTTTAATGTGCCTTTTGGGTTGGCTAGAAACAGAAGTAGTAGACTTGAGGATGATAAGAGTTGGGACAGTTTCTTCCCCTTCTTGTTGGGAGGTGAGCACATTTATAGATACTGCAGATTCTTTTGCTTCATAGTTTCCATGTCTTCTGCCCAGCTTAGTTTAAGCAGTGAAGATTTTATTTTTCCTTTTCTCCCATGACACCTACCAGAGGAAGTACCACCTTCGTTCCTCTTCCTCCTCTTGCCTTTCACCGGGCCTCTCAGACCTAATATACTGACCCAAAGGTGTTTACATCGCAGGTCTCATCTTTGGTGTAGCGAGCAGTTCTCTATTTAGCATTTCCCTACCCATTCCTGTGGCTAGAATTGGGTGGGTGGTCACCGGACAGGAAAAATTAAACCCTGCTTACTTGGGCCAAGGCTCTTGGTTCTGCCTTCTCAGATTCCCAAAAGAAAAAGGTTTTGAGTTTATGAGAAGCAAGTGCTGGGCAAACAAGGCTCTTGACTGAGCCTCCTACCTGTTCAGTGCTCCTCATCTGATTCAGAAGTATCACTTTTGATCACTAGCACTGGAAAAATGAAATCATCTGTTTGAAGTGAAGGGACTAATTTTTCTTTGCTTTCAGCCCATGTAAATATTTAAATAATACAGTATTAACATTTTTGTGCTGCTTCCCATTAGCTTGTAGATTGAGCCATACTCTGGCTGCCTCTCTACCTTCCTGGGGGCAGTTTTCTTTAACTTTCAGAATAGTCAATTTAAAACTTAACAAAATAACCTATCCTTACTTACAAACATTACAGATTGTATTTAACTTTATCACATATGATAGAGATATATATGCTGTAAAATTAGGGAAAGGAACTTTCTAATAAACCAATGATTTGTGGAAACTTAGCAGAGTCTGTCGTGATTGTTGCTCCATCCACTCAGGTTGGGAAGGGATGGAGTTACGGGTTACAAATAACATCCTGCTGGAAGTGATCAAGGGATAGATTTTTGCTTCTGGTGTTCGGGATTGAGCTTCTCAAGACAGGCTGCCTGAGTAGCAGGGAAAGATGGTGCTGTAGGAGGAAATCATCATGGTTAATTTTATTAGTCTTAGGTGGATGTCTTGGAATGTGCATCTCCTTTCCACGCTTTGCCATGAGAATTTTCTTCTATGTCTACTTTTTTGCTCAGTTGAGATGTAATCTCTGTAGTAGAATGTATGGCATGTTGGTGCTCACGAAACAGATTTGGGATTTCTGGCGTCAGTTTTCAGGATTTGAGATGAACTTCAGAGCAAAGGGCTTACAAGTCATCTGCCTGATTTTTGCCTTCCAGATGAAGTTTTCTATACCCGAACCAGTCTTGAATTATTCTCCTTAATCTCATCATAATACACAGCAGTGCTTGAAAGCTGCGTAGTAAAAGGAAATGTGGCCTAATAGCAGATAAAAACTTCTATCTACTCTTCAGTATAGAAAAATCAAAAAAGGCAGAGGAAGTTTAGCTTCAAAAGCTAACCATAAGTTTGTAATAAGATTCCTCTCCCTCAGCCTTTCAGGGAAAGAGAAGTACAAAGTCTATTTCTTTCCTACTCTGTCACACAGCTGTGTTCTCCCTAGAGAAAAGAGAAGGTATTGAGTTTGAACCTTGGGTTGGATGCTCAGATCTGCCTAATTTCCTAAATGAGCAAAATCCCTGCCAAGCAAGAAGGAATGTTATAAAATGAAAGTGAGGGGCTCCCTGGGTGGTTCAGTCAGTTGAGTATCCGCAGAACTCTTGATTTCTGGTCTTGATTTTGGCTCAGGTCATGATCTCCTGGTTAGAGTTCAAGCCCCACGTTGGGCTTTGTTTGCACTGAGAGCACAGAACCTGCTTGGGATTCTCTCCCTCTCTCTCTGCCACCCCCTCCCCCCACTCATCCTCGTGTGTGCACTCTTACAAACTAAATACTTTTTTTATTTTTAATTTAAAAAAATGAAAGTGACTTTCTGAGCAGGCAGGGTGTCTACTGGCTTGTAGAGAGTACCATGTGAGGACATATGCAGCCGATTCCAAAAAGGGTTGTTTCAGCCGCCTGCACTTGGATCCCAGAAGTACTCCCCTTTCTACACCCTGATGACTAAGACCTTGTAGACCTTTCCATTTTTATTTGTCAGAAATACCTTCACCTCCCTCCCTTATCAGCTCGTGTCTGAATTTTTGCGGCATTTTCCTGGCTGGGCTCACAGAATCCAGGATGTAATTCCTTAATCTATGCAAGTTTACTGTCTTTTCAGAATCTTCAGTTCATTTTATGTACTGCTTCCCAGTAAAATGCTAAACTCAGGACAGGGACTGATTTCTACCCTTTTCTTTTTAATCCCTTGGAATGTTTTACATAGAGTTGAACACACAGTAAACATTTTATATATTTAAAAATAGGAACAAAGAAAATACTGAGGATTATGCAAGGATTAAATAAGGAAGCATCAAAGATAATGAGCTTTTCTCTATTTATCCTCCACATCACCTTAGCTCTATGCCAGGCACATAGAAGTTCAGTCGTTGTTGACTTAAGCCTCTACGGAACTTTGCATTCATTGAGGAATTCTAGGACTCAGGGTTGATGGGGTGGGAAAGTGGGAGCGATGTGTCCGCACTCTGCCTACTATCTCAGGAGATCAACCCAGCTCTGGCCCCAGGGAACACCCGTGAGAAACAATTCTTGAATACCAGACTCCTCTCCCTTCCCAAATCTGATGCTTCACCGATTTCTAGTTGTAGCTGATGGTACAACTGTCCCACCAGCCAGCCATGCACCAAAGCTTTGAATTACTTTTGACCCCTCCCTACCACATTGTTACTGATGGTGTCATCTCCGCTCTCTCTTTTGTTCTTGTCATCAGGATCCTGGTTCAGACCTCACCACCTTAACTGAGAGGATTGCAGTGGCTACCTATCCATCGGACCTTCCCACTAAGTCCTGCCTTTTTCAGTTCCTTCTATCCACAGCCAGTGTAATCATCCAAAAGGGAGCACAATTGGTCAATGTATCTCTTTTTCCCTGGCTTTAAAAATCTTTATGATTCTCCATCTCCTACAGATTAAAGTTCGGATTCCTTAAGGCATTCAAGGACCTGTAGTGATTTGATCCTAGCCCTCCATTTCACTCTGGTGCCCCATTTCTCCCCTTTGAACACCCTATATTGAGTTGACTACTTGGCCTTTCCCTATAGTTGACCTCTACTGTCTACAGCTCTCTTTGTTCATGTTATTTCCTGTGTCTAAAAAACCCTCATTCTCAGACAAAAGGCACCACGGTGTAGTGGTTAAGAACACGGATTTAAAAACAACGATGGATTCAAGTGCAAACGTGTTTGAATCCTTGTCTCGCCACCCTTTGGCTATATAAATTTGGGCAATTTACCTAAAACTCTGTACCATGATTTTTGCATCTATACAATAGTACCTATTTCATAGGGTTGTTATAAGGATCAAAGATATAAATGACTTCAGTTAGGCATAATGTTAGTCTACCCTTTTCAAGGCATTCTTTACTGTTCCTCTGCTGCAGTTATGAGTGTTTGTGTCCTAATTGTGGGCTAAGTTCTTTAAGGATCTGGGACAGTTATCTTTGTATCCCTCATCACTCAGTGCCTTGAGCAAAATAAATACCCATTAGAGACCAGTGAGGGCCACCTGGGTGGCTCACTAAGTTAAGCGTCGGATTTTGGCTCAGGTCATGATCTCATGGTTTGTGGGTTCAAGCCCTGCATCGGGCTCTGCGCTGACAGCTCAGAGCCTGGAGCCTGCTTCAGATTCTGTGTGTATGTGTCTCTCTCTGCCCTTCCTCC